CCTAAATCACCCTGACTCAAAACTTTTAGTAATAATTAAGAGCTAACACCAGTGGAGCCGTTAACCATGTGCCCAGCATTTTCCTGAACAATTTAAATGAATTTTCTCACTTAATCCTTCCAGTAACCCAGTGAGGTAGGTTCTGTAATTCTCCCCCTGGAGATGTGGAAACTTGAGCTTAAAAAGACTCAGTAACCTGCCCAAAATTGCTGAGCCTCTAAGTGACAATGCTGAGACTCAAACATAGGCTTGAGCTGAAGCTTTCAACCACTGCAAGTATTTCTGCAGAGATACCACTGGTCTAATAGTCACTTAGGGAACTTGTTTTTAAAAAAATTGCTAATTGGACACAACTACAAGGCACATAGATCAGAATTTCTGGGGAAATTTTCTGACACACAGCAGGTTTGGGAATCACTACAAGTTAACTGTCCATTCTCTACAGAATGGAATCAATTTCTTTTGCCCAAACTCCTCCCAACAGGATTCTCGGATAACGGCAAAATTCCTTACATTGGCCTACAAAGCACTTCATAGTCTGTCACTTGATTGACCTTTTTGGTCCCATCTTGACCCAAGTCCCCTCTTTGTCTGGGTTTGTCGTCGTCCATCAGCCAGGGTTTTCCTTCACAGGGTACTGGCAGCTGCTGTTCTTTGGCTGGGGGTGCTCTTCCCTCCTCCTTTTGTCCAATTAACTCCTGCTCAGCATAATGGACACTTCCTGAGAGGAACTTTTCTGACCTCCCTGTCTATGTAAAAAAGGAACTTTTCTGACCTCCCTGTCTAGGTAAAAACCCTAGCTATTATCTCTCACAATACTATGTACTACATTTGCAACCTAAAAATATATTTATGTGATTATCTCTCTTTCCCACTATAAACGGTAAACTCCACAGAGGTAGGAACGGTGCCTTTTTTTGCTCCTTATTGTATCCCCCGTGCCTAGCTTAGTGCCTGTCACATAAACATTGTTCAAGAAATACTTGTTGAAAGAATTAATAGTTTCAAGGCCATTTATTCCCTACTTAACCAATCAACCATATTTTTCCCTTTTACTCAACAGAGACCATTCCAACTACAGAGGTTAACTCCCCTCTCTCCTTTTTTTTGTTCTTATCCTGACCCAAGACCCTTTTCCACCTCTTTACCTATGTAATTCCTCCTATTGCTGCAAGGGAGAACCTAAATTTCCCCTGATCTCACAAAGTTCTCTTTATCACACCAGCCCATAACAGTCTCATCTAAACTTCTACATCACTTTGTATTTCTATGTTATTCATTTGGCACTTCATCATATGCTGTCATGTAACATTATGTAGTATTTCACACGGAAGTGCCTTGTTTTTTTTTTTTAACTATAAGCTTTGTTAGGTAGCTTGTATGTTCTCTTATTTTGGGGGGTAAGTAATTAGGTTGGTTGGTTTGTTTTTAGAGGAGATACTGGAGATTGAACCCAGGACCTCATGCCTGCTAAGCATGCACTCTACCACTGAGCTATACCCTCCCCAGCTTGTATGTTCTGAAAAAGGTAGTTATTGTTTAATTTGAGACAAGTACCCAGGCACATCATAAATCCTCTGGAAATGTCTGCTGAATAAATTAATGAAGAACTTTCTGTGGCCTGCAGTATGGACTCTGCCTACAGTTTATCACCAAATTTGGCAATTGACAATTCTCCTTGGAGGGCACCTGGCTATTTCATATTATCTCTATGGACTACCTCCAGGGCCCCCTTTGACAGACAGTTCAAAACAAGTGTCATGGGAGAATATTAAAGAAATACACTATTTTAAATTTCCTAACATATTTAGAACAGTTCCATACTCAGGAATTTCTAAATCCATTACAAAGCTACTAACAAATTCCGTAACTCTTTAGGATACTCTACATTGTCAATCCTGATTCTCGTCCTCTGAGGTTGGAAGAATCCTTAAATATTTTCAACAGATTAATTTCTATTTCAAAATACATCACTGAGAAAAATTTTTTTTTGGCTGTGGTCATGCTGTTACTCTCTTGACTAAATATCATTTACCATAAATCTTTAACCTGTGTAAAATGCAGAAGTGCATTTTAACTTTTTATTTGATGGAAGGGACTCAACTAAGATCGAAGTAATTGAGACTTTTCCCCTTCAAAGTCAGAAAGTAAATTATAATTCTAATTATTCTTAGTCTCATTTGAAAACATAAGAGCCAAAGAAAACAAAGCTGACAAACAATATTGAAATTCAAGGTATGTGTAGAATTATTTCAAATACAAACAATTAATTTATTTCATGAATTAATTTATAAGTCACGATTTTTGCCCATACTAATCAGGAAACAAAGTTTGATAATAAAGAATTATCAGTTATCTGTTTACCTGTTTCTCTTTAAATGTCCTTATGAACACTTTACATGGAGCTAATTATTTTTAATAGCTTTATTGAAATGGTAATTTATGTACTATAAAATTAACTCATATTAAGTATACATTCAGCTTTTTAAGTATCTTTACAGAACTGTGCCACCATCTCCAGAATCTAATTTTACCTCATTTTTTAAAATTTAGATATAATTTACAAAGTTATATAACTAACATCACTCTAATTTTGGAACATTTTTTGTCACCCCAAAAAAGAAACCTCATACCCATTACAATCTTTCTCTATTTCTTCTTAAGCCCTCCAGCTCTAGACAACCACTAATCCACTTTCTGTCTCTATGAATTTATTCTTAACATTTAATGTAAATGGAATCATACAACATGAGGTTGTTGTGACAGGCTCCTTCAACTTAGCATGTTTTCAAGATTCATCCATACTGTCACAGGTATCAGAACCTCACTCCTTGTTATCACCTAATAATAGTCCACTGTATGAATATACCACATTTGGTTTATCCTTTCATCAGCTGATGGATATTTGGGTTGTTTCTACTTTTTGGCTGTTAGGAATAATGCTGCTAGGAATGCTGGCATACAAGTCTTTGTGCAGATGTATGTTTTTATTTCTCTTGGGTAGATACCAAGGAGTGGAATTACTAGGTCAGATGCTAATCACTTTTTTTTTCTGCTAATAACCCTTTAGATGAAAAGCAGAATTTTTTTTCTATTTCAAAGGGTCTTTGACACAGCCAAGAAACAGAATTTTCATGAAAATGCTAATATAAATCCTTTAAAAAATAGTAAGACTAATCTGCACACAGCTTTGCTATCTACAGAAGCATATAATACTTTCCAATTTGGGGTTCACATAGAAATTCTAAGACGAGGTGAGAACTCCTTTTAGTGCAAATCATAGAACTAAATGGAGCTTGCACTAGTCAATATGCTAGGATCAAATTCTATTTTTTGAGCAGAATTTATAAATATATCCATCTCCTGTGGCTGACAATTGCTTAACAGATAAATACACTAAGGGAAGGCTTATGCAATAGGAGTAGCAAGCAGTACATAGGAATTTAAAATATCAAACACCCTCCAATCAGGGGCCTGCTTCTCATTTCATGAGAAAAAGGTGAAGCATTAATTATAATTAGTCATGAAAATTCCCAAAGCCTTTCATAAAAGCATCTTTCAGAAACTGGAGGCCAAATAAACTTCTGGTCACATGCTGTTTTTGTTTTTCTTCCTGGCAATGTACATTCTAGTGCAAATATATTCAGGAAGCAAACTTTAAACTGAAAATTAAGAGCTGATTGCAAAATTCTACGTTAATAAAAGAGCTTAAAAAACACATTTTAATTTACACAAAAATCAAACATCTTGCAGCAAAAATTAGGCATAATCAAGGGAAAACTACCAGACGTCCTACCAATCACAGCACTAGAGAACGCCACAGGTCGTCCAAAAGACGCATTCGCTTTAGCCAACAGCTCTTTCCTCCCGCCAAAGCTGTCCCTAGAGCGTCAGAGAATAACCCAACGAGAGATTTATGATTTTCCCCTTTTGATCTCACCCCCACCCTCCCCAACACATCCACCTGCTTAGAGGTGTCAAGGCGACTAGAAATGGTTAACAGTGACCAGCAGCAGAGACTGAGAAACAAACACCCCTGACAACCCACAGCTGAGTAAGCAAGAGCTGTTTATTCACGAACATGTTCCATTTGGAGACTATCGGCGAGCCCTTGAAAGCCCAGGCACATTTTAGAAGGTTCCTAGAGAGGGAGAGAATAATCTCTCCACCCCAACCCGCTTCCCCCTCCCACCCCGGCCAAACACACACTGAGAGGCTCGGGTGGGAACCATCTGGTGGAGGCAGCGCCTGCCCTCCCGACCCCTCGGGAATAATCGCACTCACTAGAGCATCCGACCCCTTGCGGGGGTTGTGTAACTCCCCAAAATGAGCTCAGACGCGGCAGAGGCTGCCTCCAGCGCCGAAGGCTTCAGCTGGAGCTTCTGCCACCCCCGCCCCCGCCACGGCCCGCCCGACGCCGCGGCCGGGACTGGGGACCCTGCCGAGACATGGCCCTTTGGCCCCCTCCCCTCACCTGGCTCGGTCCCACCTGAGCGCAAGAGCCGAGGAGAAAAGAAATAGGCAGGGAGGGCTGACCTTGATGCTACTGACAGTGGAGCGGCACATCCTGCTGCTTCCTGGAAAGCGGCCCGCAGGACATTTTCCCCCTGGAGGAAGGAAACGGGAGGGCGCCGGCCGGGCGGCGGCGGGCGCGGCGGCGGTGGTCGGGGCAGGCTGTGCAGCCTCTAGCGGGGACGGTCCGAGGACTACATCTCCCAGGCTGCTCTGGGCCGCTTTGCGTCGTGACCCCGGCGCGCACGGAGGCGGTGACTCTTACCTCACAGAGGTAGCTCCTCCGCCGGCAGCAGCTCGGCGCCCGCGGTCCATGGACCGGAACCCTGGGCCGACGGGCAGGAACCCGGGCCGCGATCGCCGCCTCCCCGCCCCAGGCTCCTCCTCCTCGCTCCCCACCGCCTCCTCCGGACGCCCGCGGGCCGCGCACCGCTGCCGCCTGGCCCTCGGAGCCGCCCCGGGAGGCTGGGTGGCGGGTTCGCGGCTACCGCCGGACTGAGGCCTACTCCGTCGTCTCTCAGTGCTATTGTCCCTGGGCCCGGCCCTGACCGGGCCCACCGGGGAGGCGAGTGCTCCGGCTCCGCGGAAGATGCCGGACCAAGCCCTACAGCAGATGCTGGACAGGTACGGGTGGCCTTGGGGGAGGACGAGCCGCGGACCCTCGCCTCCGGCCCTGTCCGCGCCCGACCTCAGGGCTCTTCCGAAGCCGACCCCCGCGTGTCGGGAGGAGTTCCACGGCCTGGGGGCCGGGTGCGGGGCAGAAAGTTTGCAGTCCGTTCTTGGGGGAGGGCAGAGCGGGCGGCCCGGGTGCGTAGACTTAAAGCGAAACTAAGTTAAGGAGTGGCGTATAGTTTTGCTGGAACGACATTGCGAAGTACGAGGGGCTCATGTTAACCCACAGTCAGTTTCTTTTTGTTACTCTCCTCCTCCCCTCCCCCTCAAACTATGTTGTAACGTGTTTGTCAGCGATGTCAGTGGCAAGAAGAACCAGACCGTCTTTCTGGGAAATGATCCTTCTCCAGTTTTAACACTTTTTCCAAAAACCAAGGACAGACATTCTTCTGGAAAGCTTCATAGATTGACTTCACTCCTTCCCCCATCCCATCCCCACCCCAAACTGTATCCGCAAGGGACTTGACCAGAGTAGGGGTTATGGAAAACAGCCTTGAGTCCAACCTTGAACTCTTAGCGTATTTCACCATTCGTTGAGTTCACTAAGAAAGCTTAATCTTGTAGTGGGGCCAGTTGTGCATTCCTGGGGGGCTCCAGTGGGTAAAACTCTGTGAAATCGGCTGCACCGCCCTCTGCTGTTCGAATTCAGATTCATGGGTTCTACCGTGAGTTTTTTGAAGACCCTTAATCCACATTTTCCCCTAAACCAGGCCTTAACTTCCTGGCATAGCCATGCTACAGGCTAATGCATAGTGTTTGGTTGCCTACAACTCTCGATAGACCACTTGCCACTCTGTTCAGCAGGTGAGACAGCTCTCTGTACTGAGAAAAGGTCCGACTGTAAGGTGTTAAATGAAAGGCCTCCCTTAAATGAGATTATACCCGGTTCAGTGCAGTTTGGATCTGCCCCACCCAGAACACATGTCCTCCCAGAGAGACAGGCATTTCTTTTAGGGCTTGAAATTTTGAGACATCTAAGTTGATAAGAAATCATGTTACTGAATTCTTTCAATTTGGGGTGACCCAGTGATTAATCCAGCCCTTGTTTGAGGAGAGCATTCAGGTCAGGTTGTATTGACTACCCACCCTCTTTTTATGTAAGCAGTTTAACAAGCTCCTAGAAGGCAGAAACTTATTCACCATTTATCTTGAATCCTACAACAGAGCCTGGTACTTAGCAGGTTATCAGTAAATACTTGTTTCATGACAAATGCATGAACTTTTTTGTCATTTTCCCCAGTTCTCTAGGGGTCTGATAATTTACCAGGTAAATGATAATTTACCATACTGGCAAATTACACAGGACTTCTGAAATACGCCCACCTCCTGCCACTGCCAATTCTAATCAAATGAGACCCTATTCTGGTAGAGGGTATTTTATAATTTTTTTTTCCTTCGGAGGGCCTGCTGCTTCCATTTTTAGGTAGGTGACTTTTAGGAAAGTTTGTGTCCAAAAGCTGATCTGGCTTTCAGACACTCTTTGGAGATTTCCATAAAAGTAAAAAATCCAAGGAGTGCTAGTGAGGCGTTTAAAATGTCTCAACAGAAACTTGAAAATTCTGGTTGCATATACTGAAGCAGGTGACTATACTGGCTTCCCTCATCTTCTGTATCTTTTTGACATACCTCAAGGTAGATTCTTAAGATGACATTCAAAGATTTTTTTTTTAATTTTTGATTTTTTTTTAATGAAGGTACTGGGGATTGAACCCAGGACCTCAACATGCTGAGTATACGTTCTACCACTGAGCTATACCCCCAGTTCCTCAAAGATCTTTATTATCTAAGTCAGTATTTTGCAACCTGGCTTCATGTTAGAATCACCTGGGGTATGGATGGATGCCTGGCTCTGCCCAAGACCAGTTAGTTCACAAATTTCTGAAGAATGGGGCCTGAGCATGTATATCTTCAGAGGCTTTCCAGATGTTTGTTGTGGTTGAAAACCCCTATAAACCCTAAGGGATTATTTCATGAGAAGAGATAGTATGGGTTCATAAGAAAAGCTTGGCAGAAATCTTGAAATTCTCATTTTGCACTTACTAGCTTTGTGACTTTGGACTTAAATTCTGAGTCTCTGCATCTTCATTTATAAAATGATAACGTCCTACCTCACAGGACCACAGCAGATGAGAACACAGGTAAGTACTTCGTAAAACAGTAAAATGCTATTCAGATGTTAGGCACACAGATGGTACTTGAGATTATAGTGTAACCAACCAGAGTAGCAATCCCCGCTCCATGCCCATCTCCATATTTACTATCATCTTAATCTAGGCGGGTCCTACCTGCAAGCTGAACAGTAAGATACTTGATAGGTTCATTTGAGGAATACTGACAGGCCCAACAGACTAAAATATGTCAGCCCATTAGGACCCAGAATTCTTGCCATGAATTTGGCTTCCCCCCCAAGCTTAGTCTCTGGCAATTTTTGAGGGACAGAATTTAGCTCAGAATTTTGCCCATATGTTGATTTCTTCAGTTCAAGTTTTATCCTTGAGAAGAGTAAGGAAATGTGTATAACACACATTGTTCTTTTGCTTCTAGGCTAAAATTAGGCATTTTATAGTGCTTACTAAACACTTGTATTCATTGAGTTGATTTATTAAATATTGATGCCTGCATTTGCCCGGTACCATTCTGGGCCCTTGGTATTTGTGGTAGTGAGCTTAACCAAAAATGCTTATATGGAGCTTAAATTTTAGTGAGATTTGTGTTCCATAAATTGTTACATAAAATGAAGATTATGTTTCTATAACATGAATGGTATGTTCAGTTTATATATTTAGTCTTTCAGGGGTTTTTAATTAATAGTTACTTACTAATAGCTGAAATTAAATTGCCTTGTCCTTTGTGAATAACTAAATTTAGTTTAGCAGTTACTTATCTGGATAAATTTTATTATTCCAGTGTTTATAGGTGGAAAGAGTATATATAGGTATATATTTTGATTGCCTTTCATTTTTATAACAAGCAGCTTCTTTATGTAAATTTATCATTTGAACCTTTTAAATTGTTTGAGAATAGTGGAAAAGGGGTGGCTTTCTAGTATCATGAATGATTTGGGGTCACACATCATTGCCCTGAAATTATAACCATTCATAAACTCAAAGTCTTTACATTAGGCTCTCTGAATCTTGGATAGTTTCTCTTCCTTTCCTTCATTGCCAGACTTTTTAAAGAAATCTGTTGTATATTATTCTGTCACCATCTACTTTCTTGTTTTCTCTTTTATTTCTAAAAATTAGAATTAAATGTATAGAGAATACAAATAATATAAAAAACTATAAGAATGGACCTCAGTTAAAGCCTGGTGAGAAATACTTCTGGAAATTTGACTTTTGTGTACCCTTCTCGCAGCAAACATTCAGGAATCTGTTGAGGTTGTTTTGCATCACTTACTTGCGCCTGGTGGGTAGACAAGGAATGTAACCAGTGTCCCCAGAACAGTCAGATGAGGAGAAAAGCAGGGAGAATGATCTGCTCCCCACCTGCCTCCTGCAGTGGCAAGGTGAATTAGAATCCTTACTCTAAGTGGTTATCACCACACATGTACATCCCTTTAGAGGTTGTAGAGTGTTCTGATAGGACTATGCTATATTATCTTCTGATTTATATAAACATCTCATAGTTACCAGTAAAGCACCTTCTCATTCTCTTTGTCAGTTGGCATCTTTTCCTCAGTCACATTATTGTCCCATTTTGACGATTACAGAACAATACCTGGAATTTAAAAACATTAGGAATTAGTTATATTTCCTTCCATCTCTATGTAAAAAGTGGAAACATTACAGATAAAGACCCCTTTGAACACTATCCCCAGTCCCATGTCTTCCCCGCATCCCCACTACACTATCATAAACAGGTTTATGTTCTTCCAGTCTTTGTTTAATGCATTTATATATACTATATATAATTCATAGTTCTGTTTTTGTTTCTAAAATTTAAATATATCAATCTGCAACTTGCTTTTGAAAATATTGAGATCTGTGATACACAGCAATTAAAGAGAATATGTATATAATCCATGGTATTAACATTGCACTCTTCTTTCTTAATCCATTCCCCTGTTCATGACATTTAGTTTTTTATTTTCTTATTATCTCTTGTAATTTGACTTTCACTCACCTTTCTTGTCCTTAGCTCTCCTAAAGTATATCAAAAGTTACCAGTAATTTCTTAACTGGTAAACCTAATGACTTTTCTTCTTGGTCTTCACATCCCTTGACATTTATGTAATGAAGATGAAAATGGTGACCACCACCCCCTAGCTTCTTGAAACTGTGTTCAGTTCTGTCACACTATTTGTCTGTCTTTTGCTTTTTCTCCCTTATGTATCACCTTACCTTTACTCCCTTCAGTCGTTTAAATACAGTTCAATCCTCAGGGTTTACCATTCTCTGAAAAGTATACCCACTTACT